GTTAACATTGTGATTGTGAGCATGTAAACATGTTAGCATGCTGATCTTAGCATTTAGCACTGCTGTACGTAAATACAGCTTACACAACCGTTACCATGGCTGCAGACCACTCGCTGTGTCTGAAATCACTCCCTCTTTGCTACATAATTAACTGTTTTATTATCCGGCATTTTATTTGAATTTCCCAGTCTGAACTTAATGAACAGTATTGTTTCGTCAAATTTTTACACTGGAAAGTGCTAATAATCCCATGATGAAATTAGAGATGCAACAATGAAAAGTCATGCATTGTTGCAAAATGATGACACCTCACTCCTGCTCACCAACAAGTGAACTACTGAGTCTGTGATATACTGTCAGGTGTAGTTAATGCATAAACAAGGGAGTGATTTCAGAGACTAAAAGAACCAAATGTGGCTATTTGTGAAGAACAGAAAAATTCTTTTGGAGGACACAGAAGAATTACTAGATTTACATTTTAGATTTACATGTACTTATTTGGCAGATGCTTTTATCCAAAGTGACTCACAAGTGAGGGACATCACTAAAGCCAGCAGGCAGATCTGAGGGTAATTCCGCAATACAGCCCTTTAGGGAAGAAGCAGGCAGCAGCGATGAATCTCTGTGGGATGCAAAGCAGGCTGAACCAATTCCTCTGCAAGTGTATGTTCCCATCTCTTCAGTGTTGCCGCCAGCTCTGCACGTGCTAACCCTGCCACTGGGCCGCTGCGGTTTCCTCCATGTCCTTTCCTCCATGTTTCTTGAGTCTGAGAAAAACATTCCTGACTTAAACCCTCATCACGTCTGACTAACAGATGCTTTTTAGAATTACTTTCCAAACTTGTAATGACTGAGATGAGTTATTGTTTACGTTTGACAGAGTCTCTAGCATTCACACTATCCCTGACGTGATATTTCTTTGTTTGGATGGTGCTGTTGTTAACAAATCTGTAATTAGCATATAGTAGATTTAATGGATCATCCGGTTCAACGTCATTCAGCAGATATTTAACAAAGACCAGTGAGACCTCTCTTCCCAAAACTATTATTTGTAGGAATTGTAATGATCTGGATGGATGGTCACTGCTGAGCAGAGCTGCTGGACTGAAAGCAACAAGCTGCATGAGGCTGTACTATGCTGCAGTCACAGGGGTAAAGTGCAGCTGCTAGCTAGCTAGCTGTGTACCATAGACTTGCACTCCTTTTATACTTCAATTACATCTGCTTTGATCTTAATATCACACATTAGATAAAACATTCGATGCCACCGTGCCGGCATCAGCCGTGGCCAGGGGCGTTATGTTTTCGTGTTGTCCGCCCATCCTATTCTTGTGAGCATGATATCTCAGGAACGCCTGGAGGGAATTTCTTCAAATTTGATACACATGTTCATTTGGAGTCAAAGATGAACTGATATGAATTTGGTGGTCAAAGGTTAAAATCACTGAGACATTACAAATCATGTTTTTTGCCATAATTCATACACTAATTATGACAAAAATTTATCACAAATGTGTAATAGGATAAAATGATGACGTGATGACATTTTGTATCCAAATGGTCAAAGGTCAGCTTCATTCTGACATCATAATGTTCTGAAAAAAAAACACTTCTGGCCATTATTCACTGCTGTAACTCAGGTGTGTCTAAACTTGAGGACCTGGCTGGGCATTAATGATAGATGCGTTTGACTGACTTTTAAGATCTGGTGATGCTAGGTCAGTTTTTATGGTGCTAATCTGACTGGACAATGTTATAGCCTTGTTTATTCTGCGAATGATGATATAAGACTTCAGACTGTTTAAGGTGGAAGCTAGCAAGCTAGAATTACTAGCTTCCCTGTCACCTCAACACTTATGTTAATGAGAGTCCAGGCGGAGTCAGGGAGTAACATATGGTTTGCTCTAATCACAGATGGGCTAGCAGCAAAAGAGCTAACATTATGAGGCCATTGTGTGTTAGTGTTTAGTGCTTTGTGTTTAGTTAAAACCAAATATTCACGTCCCCAGGAGAGCACAAATTTAGGTTGTTCTATCACAGCAGAAATAAAAATAAAACTTCAATTTCTTCATTTTAGTATTTACAGTTTTTACCAAATTACCAAGTCAAATAAACACCAATGATATATATGCTGATTTATTCAAAAACATGAAGTAAAATTCAGTTTTTATTGAATTATTTACTTTTGGTCTGTACGTCTCATTGCTAAGTAAGAAAACACATGCATATTGCTGTCGTGGATTCATAGTTTTTGTATAAGGAAAAATAAACAATAATCACAAGCAGAATAACTTTCTTCTGATCTCAGTGCAAAGAGAGAATGTTATGTTCTATTTTTCTTCATTTGGCTTTTTCTGAGACAGGTTGTGGATCAAAATCACCAGATACTGGTGTGACCAAACGCTGCCAAGACCTCTCATTTCCTCTCCTTCTTCTCCCTTCCTTATCTCTCCCTTCTTCTATCTTCCACGCCTGAGGGATCTTACATCTCTCTGCACAGGGGTTGGGTGGAAACACTCTCTCCCTGATGCAACCTCCTGCTATGTCTGCGCTCTGTTTACTTTGGCCCGTCTGTCGGTTTCTGCCAGACTCCATTTTTAGTTAATCATCTCTGTTTATGTCTGGGGATTCACCATTTCCCTTCTGCAGCAAACAGACAAAAACATAAACAAAATATTTAATCTGTGGTTCAATTGAAATTCCAAAGTGAATGTGGAGTGATCTTGGATTGTGTTGTATCGGGGAAAACAATGATGTACCTGTGTTCACGACAAGCAGCAAAGCTTTGGCACATACCAAAGCATATTGTATGCATTGTGGCTCGCATTCAAAAAGTTGCTGATCATTAAGACTTTAGAACAAGTTGTCCTGGTTGCATCCTACCTCCTCTTTGTTTCATGAGTGCCAGGCACACTCGGTGCCCATGCTGTACTTTAAAGAGACAGTAAGTCACACTGCTGCCATGTGGGATCTCATTATTCTCCAGCAGCAGGAAGAACCTCTGAATTCAAGTACCATAGCATACGTCACAGTCAGGGTGGATCAGTCGTTGCATACAAATTCCCAATCCATGCATGACTTGTGTTGTGTTGGAATTTCCTCCAGGCTTGGTGGCGGCTTCAAGTGTTTTGTGGGATAAAAAGGAATCACTATTATTTGATAACCAATCATAGATCTTCGGTTGAATTTTAAGCTGAGGGAAGAGAGAAGCTTTGACCATGTGATTTTAGTCTTACATCAGTTTGATTAAATCAATTTATATTTTTATACCAACTCAATTGAACGTTTTGTTATAATATGTCACTTTTCCACATTAAATGTCTAAAAATGACTAGACCTCTGTTATATTTTTTTTAAGTAATGTTCTTACATTTTCCCAAATGTTTCCATCAATTCTCAGAAATTGAGAAATACTTGATTTTAATCATGGTAACGGTATGTGTCATTTGGTCTCTTGTTAATGATGTCATATCCTATGTGTGCATGGGTCAGTGTTGTGGTTTCCTGCCAGTAACTCCAAATTGACTATTTTCTAGTTTTCAGCCACATACACCTTTTTACACTTTGGTCAGTTGAAGGATTTTAGTCATCGGACATCTGGATCTTAAATGATCAGAGAAATAAGCAAAGCAAATGTTAGACAGCTCAGTTCCCAGCCCCTCCAAGACGTCGTGTGTCCACTGAAGAGCATCGGTGAATTACTGATTTTTAAAGTGAAACAGGTTTTAATCCCCTGGTCCGTTTGTTATGGACAGGTGGATAACTCTGCAGACAATTCGGCTTCCTTTAAAAACTTCCTGAACGTCCTGCTCATAAATTATCAGAGAAACAATCGAAACAAAGGTATGCGGCAGCCTAAGCTCGCAACCCTTCCCTGGTGTCTCGTGTCCGCCGTACAGCATTGGTGTAATACTGACTTTTAATACGAAACTGCTTTATTCAGTGTTTTTATCAGTTATAATCTGCCTGTTTGATCTGGATGGATAATTCAGCTCTCAGTAAAACCTCCTGAACCACTGACACTGAGGGAATCCAAACGGGGAGAAGTTTATGGTAATGGTGGTGAAGACAACAACTCCCATGATCCCACGCTACTACAGGACATCACCTAATATCGTCTCTTGTGAATGTTTTCATTGAGAGACTCGTAGTGGAAGAAGTTACATACTGTGCATTTTAAGTCTGTCATGACAAACAGTCTTGTAACTTCAAATGCTGGCTTAGCTAAATGTCCAACCTACGCTTCACTCTTTCAAACACTGTTTGCTTATTACATTGCTATTACTGGTCCCAGCACATGTTCAAGCCCCCACCTCCTTCTTCACCAGCAGGAGCAGCTAAAAGCAGAGTGAATATTGAACTGTCACATTCACCAGGTGGCCCAGAAACATGCCTCCAAATGAATGCTAATGTGATTCATGTCTGCTGGATGTGTAAACTTTTTGCTTAAGTCTTCCTTTATTTAATGTCCCCTTCAGTTGATGTGTGACTAATTTGCACATACACACACACACACACACACACACACACACACACACACGCACACACATAAACACACACCTGCTCTCCTCCAGGTGTGTGATGACTCGCTGTGAGCTCAGTGCAGCGCTGTGCATCTGTCGCGCCTCTGAAAGCCGACCTGCTGTGACTTACAGCTGGCCCGACCTGTCAGAGCTAACCACGCACAGTAAACAATAACCCCCATGCCAGACGTTTCAAAAATATGACTGCGCTTTCCGCTGCTTGCCCCCGCTCCCTTTGACTGTAACTCAGCCAAAATACACTTATCAAAGTGCTCAGTGGTTGTAATCTTTGAAGCTTTCGTTTTTCATTTGAGTGGTTTATCTGTTGATTGTCTCCCTCGTAGGTCATAAAATTTGTACTGTAGAGGCCAAACGTTTTTATAGCTCGGTATAGTCTGTGTGCACTTCTTGTTTTCCTTCCAACGCTCATCTGCAACTTTTCTCTGTCTGTGTTTTTTTTTTTTGTTTTTTTTGCAGGTTTTGCATGCAGAAGAGTGCCAAGTTGGTGCCAGGGGTGACGTTAGACCTCATTGAGAAGTAAGTGCCACTCCACAGCCATCCTTAAAAAAAAAAGAAAAAAGAATAAAGATCTCTGTCACGGCTCTCCACCTCTTCCTGTCTCTCTCTCTCTAAGAAGGTTGCAGAGTGGAGAGATCATTATCCTGTTTTCTTCACGTCTGTCTCTCTCTGTCTGTCCCTGTCTGTCTCTTTTGCTCTCTCCTCCTTATCGTCAGCCCTGTCTGTGTTGTTTTCCATCCTGCAGGTATAATTCTTTGCCTTTGTTTCCCCTCACAGCCAAAGTGGCAGTAGTTTGGCAGATTTAAAGCTCCACATTTCTTCAGTAAACCTCCGGGTGTCGAGCGACTGAGCGCAGAACATCTCTTGCTCTCAGGCACGCACTCTGATTGATATTAGCGCTCAATAAGGATGTCATATCCAGAGTTTTAGTAGTTTCACAGAACAATCAGCGGTGGATTTTCTGTTTTTTTTTCCCTCCTTGTGTGCGGGGGAAAGTAAAACGACACTCATAAACTAAGTTGGTTGAGGAGACTTGGTTTTGGAAGTAGTGAATAACTTAACAGTTTTATCAACAGAAAGAAATCATCCTGTCGTAAAGCACCGTGAGGTGTTGAAGTGTCTCAGCAGTCTTTTAATGATGTTTCTTACTTCTCGCAGTTTGTTTTCTAAAAGCGAATAATCGTTTTCTTCACATGGCTAAACTGTCATTTCACCGTGCCACAGACAGCCACACACAAGCTAAGTGCATGGACACACACACACACACACACACACACGCATGCACAGTGCCTGCACATCTGTATCTTCCACTAGACTTTAATTAGTTTTTGGCTGAAGGTTTGTGCAGAGACACAGCCAGCTTATCCATTGTCCTGTGTGTCCTGGAGAGCTGTGTGTGTGTGTGTGTGTGTGTGTGTGTGTATGTTGTTGTGTGCATGTGTATGTGTGTGAGTGTGTGTGCATGTGTGTGTTTGTGGTGCTTCAGACTGTAGCTAGCAGGAGCTGTCCCACAATGACGCACTTTTTTCCTTTGTGTTCAAATGTAATGTTTTTTATGAGCTTTACTATGCAGAGAATCCTCAACTCAGTTGAGTAAACAGAAGTGTTTTGATAGAGCTGTATATCCTGAAGTGGTCGTTTTTATTTACTTCGCTTGCACAGAGAGGCCAGGGCTCCATTTGAAAAGGACTTATAATGGACTCATGCCTTTTTTTTTTTGTTGTTCAATTTTTTTTTGTATATTTTATCTTGTTTTCTGATCCACTACCATTTTAATTTGATGCTGATGATTTTTTTTTTTTGTTGTTTCCTCTTATTGTCTTGATAAAATCATGCTAATGTACTGTACATTACCCCACACTAATTCCATCAGTGCAACATTACAGTTAGTCCATTCTCTCCATTCTCCTCCCCAAAATCCAGCCACTTCTACTTTGCTGGTTTTTTTTTCATCTGCTGGAAAGCTGCTGTCAACGAAAGCCAACACTTCGCGTGCAGGTGTTTTACATAAACACCTAAACATCTAAACAGCTTTTAATTTGAAACACATGTAGGAAGTGTTGCGTTTAATTGAAAGTGATTGGAAAAACTGCAAAGAAGAAGCGATTGAAATGAATTAGTACATGAAGAGCAGCAGATTGGTGAGCATGGTGTGACTCTGCTTTTTGTATTTTGATTGAATAAGTGCTGTGAAAATGTACATACACCACATGAGTCATCAGCACAGCTAATCTCCCCTCACTGTTTTTGACTTAGCCTTTATCATAGAACAGCATTTATGTGCTCATGCTACATGAATTATTTGACATTTTGAATATTGGCTTTCTTTTGAACATTTGCAGGTATTTTGGTTTTATCCTTTCTATCTTGACCTCACTCATTCCTTTTTTTATACATCTTTTCTTTTTTAGTCACTCAGATTAATCGCTTGCTGATGTTTTCGACTCCAGCTGTTTTGCCATCCATCAATTGCCCATTCTCCAACGACTGCAGGTCATATTTGGATGAACATACTGCCTATTTATTTCTTCATTTGTCAAATGTAATATCTCAGAAACCACTTCCAGAATAAGTGTTGCATCTACCCATTGCTGGGTAATTGGCCAAAAGGAAAAGCAATGCATATTTGGTAGTTAGTTTACATGTTTACTGTCAGCTTGTTTCCCATGTTATACAAGACTAATAAGGATATCCATAATTCTAACATGTTTTTCCCCTTTCTGCATCTTATTTGTCACTGTGATTCCTTCTTTTACCATTGAATTAACTTTAACTGTTCATCTTTTTTACTTGCTTGCAGTTTTTCTTTCATCTTTTTATTTTTACACACCATTCCCCCCTATTCCTTTCCCTCTTCTCTCCAGTGAATGAGAATTACGCAGGAAATGCCCTAGTATTGTACGTATAGCTACTGCCAAGTGGCTCCCAAAGCAGGATGGGAAACCACTAGAGTGATGACGAACACCTTTGAAGAAATAAGCCCTTTTTTCCATTTGTATTTCACTCTTCCTTCTCAACTGCACCAGCATCAGTTGAAGCTCTCCATTCACACTCAAGCTCTCATGTCCTCTTCGTCTTTTATGACGTTCTTCACTGGAATAAAGAGCGGGCTCCTGTGGAGAGGGGATAAGTCATTTTTGACCCGATGGCTGTAAGGAGAGTTTCAGCACCCACAAACATCACACCAGTTTACGTCAGAGACGGTTTCACCTGCTTTCATTCTCCTTTTAGACATGTGAACAGAAACATCAGAGACTCTGACAGAGGTTTCAGAGTCGGCGTGCTACAGGAAAATGAAATTCAAAATGATTTCTTTTAAAGACAAACAAACTGTCATCTGAACACAAAGCTACGGTCACTGACCTAATCATGTGTGTGGCTTGAATGAAGTCTAAAGCAACACATGCTAAAGAACCACTCACCCACTATATTGTGGGTTTGATCCCCGTACCAGCCTTTCAGTATGTACGGCCACAACCAGCACAAAGAAAAACACTTTTCCTTCAAAGAAAAGAATCCCTTCAGGCTGCAGGGTGAACCGTTCACACACAGGCTGTTCAGCTATGTTTTAGAGGATCCTGTGCTCTTTGTGTTAGCTGTCTGCTTCAGACATGTACACTCCAGGATTGTATACTAATGGCAAGTCGGTAAGGTTAAGAGAAAGAGTTCTCTCTGTGGAAAAATGCTGACCTTCTCTCTATTAGTGGATATGCTCTGCTGAAATTGGATTTGAGATGTTGTCAGTTCCAAACAATATTGAAAAACAGTAGTAATATATCAAACTCATGAGATACATGACCTTGAATTGATGTGCAAGCATAGCTATATTATGGAGTTCAAATGGGGAGTAAAGAAATGGTAAGATTAGAAATTTCCACAACTTGAATATTAACAACTTGAAATTAAAGTACAAATTAAAAAGGTAAAGAAAAATCTAATTCACTAAAATGTATTGTGAATTAGTTGTTAAGAGAAAAGTGATATTAATGACACAGAGAGGCTTTCCCTCTCAGTCTTGTTGTTTCAGCAGACCCGAGAGCTTTTCGTTTTTAATCAGCGGGGGGGGGTTGGTGGGATCTCTGATGCTTAAGTTGCTGTTTTGGTTCATTGCATGTCCAACCTGTTGTTCAGACGGGTAAGTGTTGACTCAGCTGATGTCCCTCAGAGTTAAATAATGGATTTTCTCAGAGCTCATAAAAGAAAAATGACTCTAAAACTCATTTGCCATCTCACCTCTCTGCGCTGCGATGCTGGGCCAGCTGTATGACCAAAGTCAGGGGCCCGAGTTTTTCAACATTTTTCAAATGGTGCTTCATCAAAACAGGAAATATCATAGAAACTGTTTTTGTAACTGAGAGCAGCACTTATCAACATATTTTTCTAACAATAAATTGATTATGTATTATGTATAAAAGGTTGCTCATAGGTATAAACCCACAAAGAGCTACCACCCACCACTGCAGATCCCTTCAGCTCAGTAGTGTTTGAGCCTCTTTCAGTTCATTGTTTTGATTCTCTGGGCCACAAACTCTGATCTCATCGAAGTGATAGTTCGGGTTATTTGATGTGGGGTTGTGTGAGGTACTTAACTTCAGTCAGTGTGTTACTTGCAGTCGATTTGGATCATCGCCCTCTCAGTTTAGAGAAGCAGCAGGAGCACCAGCACAGAAGCTGAGCGATGTACAGCTGTGAACGAGGCCATCCGCAAAGACATGTTTTAGCCACTTTTAGAAAATGCCCACAGAAAAAATATCGTTTGAGATGTACGCTTTATTTTGAATATATTCACCACTTTATCTTGCCATCAAACAGCACTTTCCTTTGGAAATAACAGATTGTGAACCGTTGAACTACCATATTCTTACACTGTATTACTCCGCCGATCAGCTGTTTGAGTCAGAAGAGCTAAACGTACGTGCGCTTGTGCGTAGTTATACAGTGCTCCCAGCTGCTTCTCCAAACTAGGAGCGCACTGATCTGAATGTACTGGAGGTAATACACCGGCCCAATCCCAATGTCCACCCTCACAGACTTGGAGGCGCGTTCCCGGTAACTTCATGAGGGCTTAGGACTGTCCCACTGTCAAACCATCGAGGTCATGAAGGCTCTCTAGCAGACATTTTCAGCCCTTTTATGGACACTTTTCATAAGTCCACATTTCTGCAGATTTTGCCTGAGGGAATTACCCAAAGGTCCTAACATTGTGACATTAAACATGGGGTTGCCATGGTTATCACGGGATTCCCGGAAGCGTAAAAAATGGCAAACAATGGCCATAAAACACGAGAAATAATAAGATAGAAGAAGAACAGTAAACAAACAAGCATGAAAGGAACGAGCCCTAATGTTATCATTAGAAGAGTAAAGACAGTATGTGACAGTATCAACACAGAGCTCACCGTCATTCAGAGCCTGAACTGTGGAGTTATTTGTCCTATGATGGTATGATGATGAATTCTAAATATCCAATCTGATCTGATACAACATTTTTTGTTGTTGTTTACAAACAGGAAGCGAAG